TGTGTATGTAAAACTGCAGACACAGATGCAGAGCTAATTTGCACTTTGCTGCTTCCAGGGGAGTCTATACAAACTTCTGATCTGTGCATAAAACTGAGCTACTTGCCATGTGATATCTGACTTCTTCAGGTTGTATGGTTTGTCTCCTCAACTTAATTCCAGAAAAGCCCCTTTTTGTAAAACTGCAACCCCATTTTCCAGTGCCCCTTGTTATGTTACACAGGCACAAGTTTAGTTTCCTCTTCTGTTCAGATCTGTCTTCTATCTATGTGCAGCTACCATGTTCATAATGCCCTGATAAGTTTTGTTTTATAATACTTCAATATTTGCATGCCCCTACTCTCTTTGTCCTTCAGGGAGCCTGAATTCCCATAGGCACCTTTGTGCTACCTAAGGAAACTGCACACATGCTTCTGGTTCCTCCTTACCAATGCTTGCTGCCTCTCACTGGCCTCCTCTGAATCAGGGCTTCAAATATCTCCTTAGGTGTGTTCTTGCTTACTTGGGGGTGTTGTAGAGAGATGTGGTCAGGGGGGGGGGGGGGGGAACAAAAGGTAGTGTTGCCAGTTCAGGTGGGAGGGAAGGTCAGTCCCCTGGCATCAGTCACTACTGACTGATTTTTGGACACAGGCTTGTGTGGCATCTGATGCTTAGCATGAGACATGTAGAACCAATTTCTGTCCCTTTGCATACACCATTAACTGATGGATGCATATGCTCCTCCCTGTAGGATAATGATTCTGTCTATTCCCACAATGGCCTCATTCGCTGGAGTTAGCCTTACACTCTTTAAGGAAACTTTCACAAAAACTGTTTTGCTGAAAGTGAGCATCTTGATGAGGCCTAATTTATTTCAGTTGCTGCTATCCTCTTGACCTAAAATGACCACATTTAGAGAGGCACCCAGTTTAAATAGCATGTACAAAGCCACTTCTCCCTGCCTGCGGGGAAAAAAATGAGCAGCATAAAGCCCTCCTAGCCACTGGTCCTAAGCCTCTGCCTGTCAGCCCTTATCCCCACAAAGCTCAGTGTGGCTTTTCTCCAGGCCAGACTAGACTATGTTACTTTTTAATTTTTTTTCCCCCCAGGCTCTGGTTTGTCTCACATGTTCTCTCAGCAGCCCTTTCAGTGTTGCTAGAGCTGGGGTAAGGCTGCATCTGATGCATTAAAGTTACAATCTGAGCACAACCCTGGGTGTGACGTGTCAGGTGTTTGAGGGCAAGATACAGGCACCTAGGGAAGGTCCTATGGTCTTTTGGAGTTTAAGGCTTTCTTGGTGGCACAGTGACAGCTGCAGTCCTATTTCTGAGCACCTACCCACAGCTGTTCAACGGACCATATATCTCACTGATTGTTTTGTCCCTTGTACTCAGGGTCCACCATGAAGAGTGGCTGCTGTGTACCTGTGTGCATGGATGCTAGGAAGCATGGAGCCAAACTTTTTGGAGGTGCATGGTGCAAGGACAAGAGGCAAGGGTCACACGTTGCAGCAAGGGAAAGTACAAATGGATATAAAGAGGGGCAGGGGAAAGAATTGCAATTAGAGTGGAACAGGGGCCCAGAGTTTGTGACCTCTGTCCTTGGAGGCTTTCAAAAGTTACCTAAACAAACCCTGAGCAACCTGATCAAATTTTGAAGCCCTGCTTTGATCAGGGGGTTGGACTAGAGCCTTGCAGATGTCCTTCTCAACCAAATTTATTTCAGAAAATAGGGATTACATGTGTGTGCCATGCACTTGAGCTCAGATTCTAGCTCAGCTTCCTAGTTGCTTTTATCTTGGACATTAAGATGGGCTTGTCTTTGGACAAAAGGTCTTATGGGATTGAGTATTTGTTTTCATAAGACTGAAATGTCATTTTTACCAGCTTAAATAAAGGGAAGGGGATAGTCTTCCCAGCTTTATCAGGATTAATCTACTCACTGCAATGTACTAGACCCCTACAATTTGTACAGGAAAAGTTGATCTCAGTCTATCAGAGCAAACATCTTCCACACTTTCAGCCTAGAAGAAGCAACTTAGACACAAGTGAGAGTTAGAAGGGTCATGAGAGATCCACCCTGATCGTGAGCTGACTGGGAACATAACACCTGATTATGCTGTAGTGGTAGTGTCATATCACTAACACATTTTCTGGATCCTATTTAATTCTCTCATTACCATTCCAGCTGTGGTTGTACTTTCATTATAGTTGAATTTGAAGCCCTCTGTACTCTTTGTATACCCTAAGTGATTAATGCCATCTACCAGTCTTGGAGATTTAGCTTGATTTTGAGACATTCAGATGTCCTCCTGAGGAGGAGTCCAACGGCAAGAATGTAAAGGAAATGCTTTGTTTGGTGTGTAGGATCCTGCCTTAGGCAACTGTAGCAAATCCTGCTAAACTTTTTGCTCCTGTTGCCTCTCAAAAGAGCCTGCTTCAGCCTTTCTACACTTTGATAGTTAGAAACTTCCCCTCCTTTCCAGCACCAAGGAGCTGTTTGCCTGAAGTTCTCTGGGTCCTAGCAGAGCTCACTGTCCCATTGCTAGTGCTGAGTTTCAATAAGTCTTCCGAGAACAAATACCTCTGCATAATTCAGGGAAGTGAGGGAGAGTGCAAAGAGCTATGTGATTTGTATAGTAGAAACCTGAATGTAGGAACCTCAGGAACTACTCTGCTCTGACCCTGAGCATCACATACCAAGCCTTTCTTTAGCAAAGTTATACATGGACAGGCACATACTTACTGTAAGAGCTACCATGTTGGACTGACATGACTTTGGCTGCTGTTGAGTGCAGTGCAGGTTTTTGACTAATTTATGCTGCTGGGCTTCAATCAGATAAATTAATATGATAGAAATTCATTACTGAAGGCTAGAGCAAAGAGCTGTCTACATGGACCAAGGCTCAGGATTGCTGCCATTGATGGCTTATAACTTACACTTATTCATAAGTTTTAGTCAGCTTTGTTGCCTTAAAGCTGCTGTGTAAGCGTTAATGCTTTAGGCTTTCAGTTTCTGCTGTTTTATTTTGAACACCTTATACTGAGAAGGGAAGAAAACCATACTCTATTTGTGGAAAGCCATGACCTGTATCAGATTTGTATATTCTATGCCACTTCTCGTTTTTCTTTCTGGTTCTTTGGTGTCCTCCTGTCCAATAATAAATACTTGCTCCACAATAACCTTGGGTGGTAAAGGGTGAAGGATGTCCAGAGGAATATCATACTGACTTCAGAAAAATCCAAACTTAGAAACTGGAAACAGACTTCTAGGCTCTTCCTGTGCATGGAGTTGGTTGCAACCAATGGGATTATCTACAAGCAATCCAGTCATACTGGTGTTAGATGCAGCAGCTGCTGAATGGCAGAGGGATTAGAGGAAGCAGCTAGGCAGAGTGGAGACTGATAGGAGATAATCTGTGTGAGCTGGCTCCTTGGAGAGACAAGACACCCTAATCCCCACAGTAGGAGCACAGGAAGGACTGCCAGTATAGCTGGAGTGATCTAGGATGCCACTTCATTGGCAGTAAAAGAGCACCATGGTCTTCTAGGCAGAGGCCTGTAAGCTCTGAAGCTGGGTAAAGTAAGCATGTTAGAGGTGTGTAAGTGAGAAGGGATCATAAATATAGATGATTTGGAGACTTTCCTGTGAAGAAGGGTGAATGGTTGCAGGAAAGGTGAAAGTGGTTGCAGTTACATATAGATTAAATACAGAGCATATGCATACTTGCTTTTGGGATGATGAAATCTCATTTGAAAGGGGTGGAATTAAGGGTAAATAATTCCTGACTCTTAGAGAACATGATTGGAAAATTCTAGAATAGCAGGAAGCTGTGTAAACTGATTTTTTTTAAGATAATTTCTTTAATATCTTTTAATAAAAATGAGATATCATTCCCTTTGCTGCTTTTTGGAGATTTCACGTTCCACTGCATCTTTCTCCCAGCCTGTCTACAGGGTAGGAACTAGGGCTCTGGTTACTCTGGGGTGACAGCCTCCCTGGGGTCTCTCAAGGGGAGGAATGGGGTAATGAGCTCAGCCCTCCTCTCACCTCCTGCTCCCATCGGGTGTGTCTGGAAACTTGACCCAAGACCCACAGAAAAAGTACACCTTGGCTGAGGCATCAGGGAGAGGTAGCTGATCCCACCAGTGAAATAAGAGCCATGGGACAATTAGGATAAATGCTGGAGGCCATTTGTGTCAAATGTGGTAATACTGACACTATCTGCTTCTCATACACTCCAGGCAAGGTACTTATTTACAGCCAAAACACTAAAGAGGGTCTGCCAGAGTGACTCACCATGCTGAGCACAGCCTGGAGGGTCTTAGACATTGCTAAACCCCAAGTCATCCTCCTCTTGCACTTCCCCAGAGGACATCTACTTGTTCTGTCTCTTTGCTTTTGGAAAACACTGAATTACCTGTTGTGCTTTGGTGACATGTCCTACAGGTAAGGAGAACAAAAGTGGATTGTGGCTGTAAGCCTTCCTTCCCCATCTACCCTGATTTCTGCTCAAGGCTGGACTAACCTGTGCTGGGCAGAGTATCACTCAGGTTTAAAGGCCCTCTCAAGCCGCTGTGTTATGTGCTCACTCCTTGCCCAGAAATCTCTCTGCTGTGCCGCCCTTCCTGATGTTGCCTGCTTGGCTTGCAAGCATTAGCCACGTGATGTGCCTATCCCAATAAACTTTTTCATGTACCATTTAATTCCCTTCCCTGAAGGCAAGTATGCAGTAGCATGCAGTAGCTGTGATAGCTGAACAATTGGCTCATCCGAGATTTGACCAGGACGTGCTTTTATTTCCTAGTTTGGTGCAAAAACTACAAATGCTGTTTGTTAGATCACTAGGCGGGGGAAGGGAAAGCAGTGGGGTAAGACGTAGCTAGGAAGGCTCTGGCACAAAGTCTCACACGTTTGAGACGGTGCAGCTCACCAGGCGCCCGAGTGCCCAGGTGGGCAGGGAGCTTCCCGAGTAGTTTGAGAAGCTGCTCCCAGAACAGCGAGGAGTCTTAGCCTCGGTTATGTTGCAGCTGGCCCTTCGTGGTGCTAACCCGAACCCAGAAAGCCAGCCCGCTTTGATTATAGGCGTTTGCAAGCCAGAAATCATCGCGCTGCCCTCGGAGAGCCGCTCCCGAAGCCGCAAGCCCCCTCGCACCTCCGGGCGGGGGGTAGGAAGTGAAATAAAATTAAAGCCCTGTCACTTAGAGGCTGCCCTCCTCGCTGAACTCCTGCTGAGGCACCACCAGAGAAGGGGAAGGGAGGGGTGGACAAACAACCCGGGGAACCCCCCAGCCTAG